GAACTCGGGTCACCTGGTTCACGGGATGATGATGTTGTTGTGAAAACTCTGCTGCCCTCCACTTGCTAATGCAAAGACAAAGATCCCCCGTGTAGTGTCAGCAGACTGTAGGGGCAAGTGCTGTTAGCGAGTAGCACCAATGAAGGCCGGCACGGCACACGAGGGGGTGGGTGGCCAGCACCACGCCCGGCCGCCTTTGTATCCGCAGTGGCGATGTTTACACACTGCACCGGGAACTCATTTGAGGCTGAGTCGACCTAGGGGAGACCCAGGACTCGCTGAGATAATCGTAGCCGTTAGCGGGAATGGAACACACGGACACACGCGCACGGACACACGCGTGTACATTCATACGCACGCAAGTAAAATCGACAATGGTACCTCTTCGTAGCATGTGACTTCGTAGTCCAGAATGAAGCCGTTGGGCTGCTCTGGCTCGAGCCAGGTCACCAGGACGGAGTCTTCCGAGACGATCCCCGCCTGGACACGCACCACGGGGGACGGGGCTGCGGGCACATCCAGGACCTGATCACGTGGTACCTCGTTCGCTTGCCCGCAGGCCTCATACACACACAAACATACACACATACACACACATACATTCATACACACACATACACACACATACACACACATACACATACATACACATACACACATACATACACACACATACACACACATACACACATACACACACACATACATACACACACATACACACACATACACACACATACACACATACATACACACATACATACACATACATACACACACATACACACACATACACACATACACACACACATACAAACACACATACACACACACACATACACACACACATACACACACACATACAAACACACATACACACACACACATACACACACACATACACACATACACACACATACACACACACATACACACACACACATACACACACACATACACACACACATACACACACACCTACACACACGTCGGTAAGAAATAACTCGGAGGAGGAGTTCCAGGTGCTGCTGCTGAACCTGGAGCGTGCCACCAACAGGTGGGGCCTTACCATCAACCCAACCAAAGCTAAGCACCTGCCTGGATATTTTATACCATCGGACACTCCACCCCCACAACTCTCAATTGGTGATGGGGCAGTTGTGGAGACAGTGGAGAGTTTCCCTGGGCAGTGTGCTAATGACCGGCTCCGGTTTAACAGCAGAGGTCTCACTCCGAATCAGTCAAGCGGCAATATCTTTTCATTGGCTGCGTAACGCTGTGTGGAAGCTACCTGGTCTATCACTCCGTACGAAGCTTCAGGTCTTCTTGGCCACGGTCATTCCCTCCCTTCTATACGCTTGCAAAACTTGGACCCCCCTAATGGAACATCTTCGCCGGTTAGAAACATTTAGGCTGACCTGCCTAAGATCCATCCTGGTTTTAACCAGGCTGCATTGTGTGAGGAGCTCACAAATCCTTGAAAGATCTGGGCAAAGTCCCATCGGTGACCTCCGGCAGGCAAGGCTGCTTTGCCTGAGTCATGTAGCCCGCATGACCAGCCACCGCATGCCTAAACAGCTTTTGTTCCGCCGGATCGAGGGGGCTAGACGGGCGCGGCACGGGCTAGAGAAGAGATGGAGTGATGTGGTACAGCAGGACGTGGAGCCGAGTGGACTTGCCGATGACCGGTACCAGCCGTGTCAAGATCGGCCACTGTGGAGGAGGCTCCTGAAGGACGCTACTGGGCAGTTGGAGGCAGTCGCCCTCCAACAACAACGGAGGGCGGAGGAGCGACGCTCACAACAACGAGCGGAGCGCCGGGTGGCTAAAGCACAGCAAGTTGCCACAGTAGGGGCCACAGGTGGTGCATCAGCCAGTCGTTTCAGTCAGTTGACCTGTGCCATCTGCGTTTGCCCCGTGACCTCTTGCCAGCGGGCGTTCGACACTTTACGTGGCCTCAAGGTGCACATAGCCTGGCACAAGCGTCGTGGTGACGTCTCCACCACTTAGTGGCGAATGGCGGTTGTTGTTCAGTCTATGTATGTATGTGTGTGTCCATTTGTGCGTGTAACTCTATGTGTGTGTATCAATGGATTTGCGTGTGTAACTACATGTGTGTCTGCCTTTCTCGCCCGGGCAACGCCGGGTACTAACCGCTAGTTTAAAGATAAAAAAGAGAAAAAAACATTAAAAAAAGAACAAAAAAAATCATTTTACAAACGAGAATAAACATTTAAAGATGAAAAAGAAGAGAGACAAAACAAAAAACATTCACGTGAACGACAGAGAGGGGGGGGGGGGGTCACTCACGCGCCACGGAGGTGCTGACGTTCACGGCGGCGAACAGCGACGGGCCTCCGCTGAGGCTGGACACTCCGTTGGTGGCGTGCACCTCCAGCGTGTAGGCGGCGTTCTCCTGCAGGCCGCTCACCTCCGCCCAGCAGCACGAGCCGTTGGGCAGCGGCAGTGGCACCGGCGGAGGCCGGAACCTCACGGCCGCCCCGCACGGCGCTGGCTGCTGCTGCTGCTCCTGCTGCTGCTGCTGCTCCTGCCGGAGGCGGCGGCGGTGGCGGTGGCACTGGACGGAGTAGGCGAGGTCGGGGCGCCCGCCGGGAGCCGCCGGCGGGCGCCACCGGAGCGTCAGCGAAGTGGCGGTGAGCGCCGTCCACGTGACGTCCGTGGGGGCAGACGGAGGCTCTGGGAGGGTGGGGGGGAGTTTAATGTAGTGATGTAGGTAGTGTATAGTGTAGTGTAGTGTGTAGTGTAGTGTGTAGTGTATAGTGTAGTGTATAGTGTAGTAGGTAGTGTGTAGTGTAGTGTATAGTGTAGTAGTGTAGTGTAGTGTGTAGTGTAGTGTATAGTGTAGTGTAGTAGTGTAGTGTAGTGTGTAGTGTAGTGTAGTAGGTAGTGTATAGTGTAGTGTGTTGTAGTGTATAGTGTAGTATTGTAGTGTATAGTGTATGGTAGTGTATAGTGTAGTATTGTAGTGTATGGTAGTGTATAGTGTAGTATGTAGTGTAGTATTGTAGTGTATAGTGTATTGTAGTGTATAGTGTAGTATTGTAGTGTATTGTAGTGTATGGTAGTGTATAGTGTAGTATGTAGTGTATAGTGTATTGTAGTGTATAGTGTAGTACTGAGACCACCACGTACTTGCGCAGGCAACAGACTGGGCCTCGTCTCTGGGCCTGAAGTACCCGTCGTGGCAGGCGCAGGACGTGGCCCCGCCAGCGCTCCCCGCGCTGTGCGGCGGGCACGGGGAGCAGGAGCCGTCCCCCGCCGTCTCCTTGTACCAGCCCTGCTCACACGCTGCACGCACACAGAGCCACACGCCGCCCCATGCAGCCCTGTAGCCTTCGCAGACTGTTGGTGCTGTCAGTAGCGAGAGATGGGGTGAGTGGGTGAGATGGGGTGGGTGAGAGGGTGGTTGGGTGAGTGGGTGGTTGGGTGAGTGAGAAAGTGGGTGAGTGGGTGAGTGGGTAGGTGAATAGGTATGTGGGTGGGTGGGTGGTTGGGTGAGTGAGTGAGTGAGAAAGTGAGTGGGTGGGTGAGTGGGTGGTTGGGTGGGTCAGTGGGTGCGTGGGTGAGTGAGTGGGTGGGTGAGTCGGTGGGTGAGTGGGTGAGTGGTTGGGTGAGTGGGTGGGTGGGTGGGTGAGTGAGTGGTTGGGTGAGTGGGTGGGTGATGTGGGTGGGTGAGTGGATGGGTGAGTGAGTGGGTGGGTGGGTGAGTGGGTGGGTGGTTGGTTGGGTGAGTCAGTGGGTGAGTGGGTGAGTGAGTGGGTGAGTGAGTGGGTGGGTGAGTGAGTGAGTGAGTGAATGAGTGAGTGGGTGAGTGAGTGGATGGGTGAGTGAGTGAGTGGTGGATGAGAGGGTGGCTGGGTCTTCTCAAATCTTTCTCGAGGGTAAGCAACAACAACAATAAATCTATTAAAACAACCCCAATGCGTCACCTCGGCAGGCATTCCCCGCCTGCTGGTACCCGGCACGGCAGACGCAGCTCCCGCTGAGGCTCGCCCACTCGCCGTCAGCGTCACAGAGCATCGCCGGGCCCGGCTCCCCCTGGGCCCGGAGCGAGTGGCCCACGCACGCCCCGGCCACCTCCGACAGCGCCCACCGCCCGTCGCCGGCGGCTGGCGCGTCGGGGAACACGGCGAGTCCGAGCGCCAGCGCCGGGCAGCGCCTGTGGAAGAGTCGCACGGACAGCAGCCGGGCGCAGGCCCCCGTGTCGCGGAACGCCAGGCGGAGGCCGCCCCGGGAGAGGGGCCCCACGTTGCACGACGCCGTGGTCTCCCCGACCTCCGACCTGTCCCAGCCGACCGAGTCGACCTTGGAGAAGAGCCGCCGCTCGTCGTCCGCGAAGACGCCGGCGGGGACGTCCCCGGCATCGTCCGACTCCCGGTAGTAAACTTCCAACGCGTCGCTGACGCAGCCGGTGCCGGTGGCGGCGGCGGTGGTGGCGGTGGTGGCGGTGGTGGTGGCGGTGGTGCCGGTGCCGGCGGTGGTGGCGGTGGAGGCGGTGGCGGCGGTGCCGGCGGTGGTGGCGGTGGTGGCGGTGGTGGCGGTGGGGGGGAGGAGGAGAGGGAGGCCCCGGGGGCAGCGGCGACGGAAACGGAAGCGGACCTCGAGGAAGACGCGGAGAGCGTCGCCACGCGGGACCCAGTCGGTGCGCAGCCACTTGTCCTGGCGGGGCGCGGCGGGGCCGCACTGCGCCTGGTACAAGCGCCGGGGGCCTTGGCCACTCGCGGGCTGCCACTGCCGTCGTGGTGAGGGGGGAGGGAGTGGGGGGGGTTGGGGGAGTGTGGGGGGGGGAGTGTGGGGGGGGGAGTGTGGGGGGTGTGCGGGAGTGTGGGGGGGAGTTGGGGAGGAGTGTTGGGAAGGAGTGTGGGGGGGAGTGTGGGGGGGAATGTGGGGGGAGAGTGTGGGGGGGAGTGTGGGGGGGTAGTGTGGGGGGGGAGTGGGGGGAGAGTGTGGGGGGGAGTGTGTGGGGGCAGTGTGGGGGGAGAGTGTGGGGGGGGGGAGTGTGGGGGGAGTGGGGGGGGTGATTTTTTTGTGAGTGGAATTGGAAGACGGTGAGTTTGAGGCGTGCTTATCATGAATCTGTATTTATTTAATCTTCACTTAAAGCTTTCGTGACTGCAGGAGTTGATATTATTTGGGTCTAAAGCATTATAACGTCAATCCTAACACTATAACAGCATTCCCGGTATTGTAAGAACATAAACGAACTGACAGACAATGCTTCTTCAAGTACCACAATGACCAGATTCACTGAGACCCTGAGTGTGCCTCCATTGTGTACTCTGTGTGACGGCTGACACCCCTTAACTTCCTGGTCACGTGACCAAACTCAACACCATATCAGGAAGTTGCTGTGTAAGCACGCCCCATATCTGCCGCGGGGCAGAACAAGAAACACGGATTCTTTGGGGTCTTTCGGCAAAGTCACGTAGAACAAGTAAATGTACCATCGGGAGAAAAAAGATCGGGATAGCCGCTGAGGCAGGCTGTTTCAAAAGATTCAAATGAGTGTAGCCCAAGGGTCATGAACGAAGTGGACGGGGTGATGTTCAAGTGATAAATGTCCCTACAGAAGCGTTGTAGGAGAAAACATTTATTACAAAATCTATTAAATGAAGTAGAACGTGTTGTCTATATTTATTTAAAGTCGCGAATTTTAAATACGACGTCACATTTCTCAACCCCCCTCGTCACGCATCGTCACAAAAGTCTGACCCCGCCCCCCCCCAGGTGCGTGACGTCATTTATGGACGCCCCCCCCCCCCCCCTCGAACATCCACAGAAGTTTCGTGGCCTCTCGACTCCTCCTCACCCCGTCAGGAGGGAAGGCGACCCAGCCGAGGTCTCCCTGCACCGTCTCCGTGTCGAGCATGTCCACTGCGGGGGAGAGACACGCACACACAGAGACACACACACAGACACACACACAGACACACAGACACACACACAGACACACACACAGACATACAGACACACAGACATACAGACACACAGACACACAGACACACACGCGGACACAGACACACAGACACATAGACAGACACACACAGACACACACACAGAGACACACACATAGACACACACACAGACACACACACAGACACACAGACACACACACAGACACACACACAGACATACAGACACACAGACATACAGACACACAGACACACACGCGGACACAGACACACAGACACACAGACACATAGACAGACACACACAGACACACACAGAGACACACAAACACAGACACACAGACACACACGCGGACACAGACACACACACACAGACACACACACAGAGACACACAAACACAGACACACACAGACACACGGACAGACACACACACAGACACACACAGAGACACACAGACACACACACACACGTACACACACTCACACGTACACACACACACGTACACACACACACACGTACACACACACACGTACACACTCACACAGACACACACACACAGAGACACACACACACGTACACACACACACACGTACACACACACACACGTACACACACACACGTACACACTCCGTCTCGGCGAACGAGTTGACGAGACACGCAGGGTAACGAGAGAGACACGCGGGAGGAGCCTTGAAAGAGCCATCGTTGAGCGGAGCCACACACACAGAGAGAGAGAGAGCCGCGTCGTTTCGTGTTTTTGCTTTACCCTCGTGAGCTGCGGACACCGCGAAGACGGCGGCGATGCAAACGGCGGCGAGGAGAGATGGAGCCAGTCTCATACAGCTGCTGCTGCTGCTGTGCAGGAGGGGGAGGGAGGGTGCGGAGAGAAATCCTGGGGCCATGCTGCTGCTGCTGCTGGTGGTGGTGGTGCTGGTGGTGGTGGTGCTGGTGGTGGTGGTGCTGGTGGTGGTGGTGCTGGTGGTGGTGCTGGTGGTGCTGGTGGTGGTGGTGCTGGTGGTGCATGGATCAGCTCGGTTCACCAACGCTCCGCTTCTACGAGAGTGACGGGAAACCGAGATGATTTCAATGAATGTGGGAGTGAGCGAGTGAGCGAGTGGGTGGGTGGGTGGGGTTGTGTGGTGCACTATTAATGATTGACCCGCCTAGAGAGCACACGGGTGAATGATTGACCCTGGCAGGAGTGGATGTTTGTCGAGGGGCTTTCGGCTCCCCTCCTCCCACCTCCATCCCTCCATTCAAAATCACGAGGTGTTGCTCGCTAACAGCACTTGCCCCTAGCGTCCGTTAAGGCTATACGGGGGGATCGTTGTAATGTATCTGTAGCTGTTTTATGAATGGTACAAGACTGTGTTACGTGGATGTATACGATGCGATGTACTTACCATGTTATAGACGTTGAACAATGTGTGTTCGTGCCGCTATAGGCTCTACATTGATGCTCTTGGGTTCTGTCGTTAAAGTCACGTAGGTAAAAAATAAAATAGAAAATAAATTATATTTTTTAGTTTTTTTAAAATACTAATTTTCTTTCTATTATTATTTCAAGAAATGTTTTTATTTCTTTATTTTTCACCTACGTGGCTTTATCGAAAAAACCCAAGAGTATGAATCCTTGCAGTCACGAAAGCTTCAAATCTAGAATGTACATCGATGCATTGTACAATTAAGTTGTAATTCATATAAATTATCCTCTGCATATTCACGATACGTTGGTGTTGTTAACAGATATCCCACTGTAACACAAACTTAAATATGGGTTCATACATGACTCTGTGTACATGTACACACGTGTGTACAATTATGCGCGTGTGTGGGTGTGAATGAGCGTGTGTTCTATCAGGGAGCGGTGGTGCAGCGGTTAGCGCTACGCTGCGCTACGAACCCGGCGACCCGGGTTCGATTCCCGCTCACGGCCAACACCGGTGACGATTATCTGAACCGGTCCTGGGCCTCCCCTAGGTCGACTCAGCCTCAAATGAGTACCTGGTGCGGTGTGTAGGGAGACAAAGGCGGTCGGGCGTGGTGCTGGCCACCCACCCCCTCGTGTAACCGTTCCGGCCTTCATAGGTGCTCGCTAACAGCACTTGCCCCTACAGTCTGTTAAGGCTATACGGGGGATCTTTGTCTTTGTTCTATCAGAAACACAACTTGAATATCAACAAACTCAACGACCCCACGTTGACCACGCACGCAGACTGCTGGCGGCACGCGCTGTGAGCGAGCGCCTGTCAAGGGCGTCACGGCGTCTCGTGTCTCTGTGTGTGTGCTCAGAACCACGCCCGGGTCGCCTTCACCCCCACCCAGGTGACGATGTCTTAGAACAACAATTTCAGGCCGAGTTGACCTAGCGGTGGCACAGGACGTGTTTTAGATTTTCACAAAGGTAGCCGGGCGTGGTGCTGGCCACTCCACACCCCCCCCCCCTTTAGGGTCCTCGTTGACATTGTCCACCACTTGGCTACTCCACCCCCACGTCCAACTCCACCCACAGCCCACGCAGACTGTCAGGGCAGCGTGGTGCCTCTGCTGGAGGCTCTTGTGGCTAGAAACACGCACAGCCGTCTTTGTCTTCCTCGTGCTGATGCCACACACACAGTGACAAAGATCCCCCGTGTAGCCTTAACAGACTGTAGGGGCAAGTGCTGTTAGCGAGCACCTATGAAGGCCGGAACGGTACACGAGGGGGTGGGTGGCCAGCACCACGCCCGACCGCCTTTGTCTCCCCAGTGGCGATGTTTACACACCGCACCAGGTACTCATTTAAGGCTGAGTCGACCTAGGGGAGGCCCAGGACCGGTTCAGATAATCGTCACTGGTGTTAGCCGTGAGCGGGAATCGAACCCGGGTCGCCAGGTTCATAGCGCAGCGCGCTAACCGCTACACTACCGCACACAAAGACACACACAGACACACACACACAGACACACACACACACACAGACACACAGTGACACACACAGAGACACACACACACAGAGACACACACACACAGAGACACACACACAGAGACTTGTAGCGGCGACACACACCCAGCAGTGGTTGTGCGGAGGCTGAGACCGGCGTCCAGATCGTCAATGCAGATGCAGGGAGATTTCTTTTTTAATTTGTGAATCGTAACGAAAGGATTTTCGACTTAGAGGTTTCGTGACTGCAGGGATTCATCTTCTTGGTTATATTCGGTAAAGTCATCACGTAGAAGGGAAAAAATAAAATAATAAAAACAAAACATCGTAAAATAATAGCTTTATTATGTTTATTTAAAAAAAATATAATAATATAATTCTTTTATCATGTTTTAGTTGTATTATTTGATTATTTCCCTTGTAAAACAATTCTTTTATTATGTTGTATTTATTATTATATAACTATTTTACTATGTTTTATGTTTATTATTTTAATATTTCCCTTCTAAAATAATTATTTTATTATGGTTTTTAATATTATATAATTAATTTTATTATGTTTCCTTTTTATTAGTTTATTAGTTCCCTTCTAAAATTATAAATTTATGAAGGTTTTTTAATTATATAACTATTTAGCTATTTTTATTATATTATTATTTCCCTTCTAAAATAATAATTGTATTATGTTTTTTCCCCTTCTACGTGACTTTACGGAAAGAACCAAGAAGATGAAAGGATTTCCCATAATTCTGAGCGAAACAATAGAGTTTATTTGTAGAATCTAGCAAAGCAAACACGCTTTCTGGCCAGAGATAAGAGCGTCCTTTCCACTCCCCACGCCACTCAGCCTGCACGCCGCTCGCTGTATTAGCGGAGGAACCACCACAGAGACAAAGATCCCCCGTCTAGCCTGTACTGACTGTTGGGGCAAGTGCTGCTAGCGAGTAGCACCTGTGAAGGCCGCGACGTGGCCACCGACACACCCGCCTTTGTCTCCCCAGTGTCGATGCTTCTAACACTTCGCACACATTTTACTCATTTTATGCCGAGTGGACCCTAGGGGGTCCCAGGGACACGCGCACACACGCGCGCGTGTTGCAGACCGGCTCCGTCTCGGCTCCGAGTCGTCACAGAGTCGATGTGCGGCTTGCAAATATTTGCTCGTCTTTAACGAACAATTTCTGTTTCATCGTCGTTCTGATCCCGCTGCTGCTGCTGCGATGCAATAAAACAAAGACGTTGCTTTGTACCCCCCCCCCCACGTAAAAAACATCGGAAGGTACATACGCACGTGTACGTGTGTGTCTGTACGCACATGTGTATGTGGGGAGCGGTGGTGCAGCAGTTAGCGCTACGCTATGAACCCGGCGACACGGGTTCGATTCCCGCCCACGGGCAACGCCGGTGACGATTATCTGAACCGGTCCCGGGCCTCCCCCTAGGTCAACTCAGCCTCAAATGAGTACCTGGTGCGGTGTGTAAACATTGTGCCACTAGGGAGACAAAGGCGGTCGGGCGTGGTGCTGGCCACCCACCCCCCCTCGTGTGCCGTGCCGGCCTTCATAGGTGCACACACACCCACACACACCCACACACCCACACAGACAGAGACGAACACCCACACACACACACACCCACACACACACCCACACAGACAGAGACACACACCCACACAGACAGAGACACATACACCCACACACCCACACACACAACCACACACACACCCACACAGACAGAGACACACACCCACACACACACAGAGACAAAGATCCCCCGTATAGCCTGAACAGACTGTAGGGGCAAGTGCTGTTAGCGAGCACCTGTAAAGGCTGGAACGGTACACGAGGGGGTGGGTGGCCAGCACCACACCCGGCCGCCTTTGTCTCCCCAGTGGCGATGTTTACACACCGCACCAGGTACTCATTTGAGGCTGAGTCGACCTAGGGGAGGCCCAGGACCGATTCAGATAATCGTCACTGGTGTTGGCCGTGAGCGGGATTCGAACTCGGGTCCCCACACAGACACACACACAGACACACACAGACACACACACACACAGACACACACAGACACACACAGACACCCACGGACACACACACGGATACACACACGCGGACACACACACAGACACACACACAAACACACAGACACACAAACAAACACACACACAGACACACACACTCACAGACACACACACAGGCACACTCACAGACACACACAGACAAAGACCCCCCGTATAGCCTTAACAGACTGTAGGGGCAAGTGCTGTTAGCGAGCACCTCTGAAGGCCGGAACGGTACACGAGGGGGTGGGTGGCCAGCACCACCGCACCAGGTACACACACAGACACACACACCCAACCACACACAGACACACACACAGACACACACACACAGACACACACACAGACACACACACCCACCCACACACACCCACCCACACACAGACACACACACACAGACACACACTTTACGAATCTCCACACACCTGTGCGAGTGATGAGTCACAGTGTAAACGCACGTCCACGTCACGTGCTCTCGCAATTCACTCACTCGCCTGAGTCACGTGCTTGCTGTCAAGGCATCAGCCAATTAATTAGGCCAATTAGTGACGGAATCCCACTGATTGATTAATCGCAGGCGGGCAGGCTGAACGAGGAGTGAGTCTCACCGGTTGGGAACGTGAATTGTCCACTTCTCTCTCGACTCGCGTGTGGAGCGGTGGCTCCCGGCGCTGTGTGCAGGGGGTTTAATGATCGCTCACTGGACTTGAGGTGGAGGTGGTGGTGGTCGTGGTCGTGGTGGTGGTTGTGGTGGTGGTGGTCGTGGTGGTTGTGGTTGTGGTGGTGGAGGTCGTGGTGGTGGTCGTGGTGGTGGTCGTGGTGGTTGTGGTGGTGATGGTGGTGATGTTGTAAGGAGTTGGA